ATTTTCATCTTTTCAAATAATAGTTTGTTAATATAAAATGTATTCTTTAACATCCTAACCTTCTAGGGTCTAAGTCATACAAAGAGCTGTACTTTAACTGTAATCAAAAAGGGTGACTGAAAGCCATGTTTTAAAATAAACTTGACCTTTTTCACATGGTGTTCCATTTTCCTTTTTTTGTATTGTTCTCTTGTTCACTAGTTTCATTCTTCACAAAAAGCTAATGTCTATATTCTTGAAATATTATATGCTTCTATGTGTGTCTGTGACTGTCTTGTTTATCTGCTGTCTGCATGCTATGCATATATATGGAGGTCAGATGACAACTTTTAGGAGTTGGTCCACTCCTTCTACCTTGTGGATCCTGGGCATCATACCCAGGTTATCAGACTTGATGGCAAGTGCCTTTATGCTCTAACTCATCTCACTAATCTCACAACGTTTTCTCTACTACAAATATTTACATATTTTAAAAGGATAGGACTATAAGACCACAAGATTATAAAGCACTCATAGGTCCTTCATCACAAGCACCCAATCTATTCTCCTCATTCTGTCCCTGATTCTCTTACCATCTTGTTGCCAGTCAACTTCTCTGCATTAATCTTTTTATGTTCTCCTCACTATTTAGAATTCATCTTTTCTCATGTTTCCCAACAAAAAAATTAAGGTTATTTCCAAAAGTGCTTGGATTTGTCCAAGCACTATTTCCTTTAACATGCCTTCCTAATATTTCTCCCAAGAAGCTTTCTCAACATCTTCACCTCCTCAATAATTTATTCATCAACAGATCATGCATTTTTCTGCCTTAAAATTCCTCATCCCCTGTAGATTGTGTGATGCCTTTTGGTAGAGTCCATGTACATACCCGAAAAAAAAGAATTTAAATTGTTACTTTCACATTCAAGAATTTTCCAGTATAGTTAAGATAAAACAACAAACAATTAAGTTACAGTCCAGATGAAGACAATACATTTCTATTTAATTGGCTTCAATAACAGGTATACACATTCTTACTGCTAATATCAAGACTATGTCACATACAATAAATACAAGTTACCAAAAAATGATTAAGTTGAGGAGTGGTCAAATTACATAAGAAGAACAAGAAAGTTATAAGGGAAGAGAAAGTAGAAAATTTAAAAACAAGCTTAATGAAAAAAAAAAGCAGACCAGACAAAAGGAACTGCATTGGTTCATCGTATTTGGGTAGCAGAGTTAGGGAGGCTACTCTTGTCAAAAAAAAGAACTGAAATAGGAGTCACAGCTTCCTGTGAGCTACTGGGCACTCAATGACATGGTTTACATGATTTAGTTTAACTAATATAGAGAACCAAACTGTCATGAAGATCAAATATATTATGACCTTCTCAGCAGTAACTGGGAAATCTAAGTTTGAAACCCAAGAATATTCCAAAATGCATCATATCTATAGTCAATTTAACATGAAATTCAAGCTAGGTATGCTGGATACTTTCATGCTAACAACAATTTGTTTCAACAAATCAGAGGTATCTAGAAGGAGGAATATCACTTGAGAAAATGCCACCATAAAATTCAGATGTAGGGCATTTTCTTAATTAGTGATTGATATGAGAGAGCCCAGCTTACTATGGTTGGGGCCATTCTTGGGCTGGGAGTCCTAGGTTCAATAAGAAAGCAATCTGAGCAATACATGGGGAGCAAGTCAGTAAGCAGTACCCCTTCATGGCCTCTGCATCAGCTACTTCCTCTGGCTTCCTGGCCTGTTTGAGGTCCTATCCTGACTTTCTTTGATATGGACTATAAACCAAATAAACTCTTTCGTCCCCAACTTGTTATTTGGTCATGTTGTTTTGTCACAGCAAAGAAACCCAAACACTGGGAGTATGCCTGAGATTAACAACAACAACAAGAGCAACAACAATTACTTATTTGCAAAAAGATCAAAGTCTGAAAGAAATTCATATAATTCTAAGGTTTTTCTCATGGTAACATACAAATTAATTTCATGGTCAGCTATATATACGTGGTATATAAGATGAGTTCACCTTAGAAACACTTTAGCAGAACATCTTAATTTTTACATAACTGAATATTGAAGCCAAGTACCTGATTTATACGCTGTCTGTGAGGAGAAAATTTGAGAACAAGTAAAACATAAAAGTTTTGTCCTCAAAAGACTTTCTAAATCTGTGGGTACTGGCCTCTGACAATCAATTTCTTAGAGTTGAAAATCATGAGGTAAATACCATTTAATCCTATCACTAAGCACCCTCCTGATAAGGACTTGTGTTGTTTTTGGCCAACAGGGAATCCGGTACCAAGGAGAATTCTGGGTGTTGTAATTAGCACAGTGCATATATTTTTTGCAAATTGTTTACTCAAAGAACATTGGTTTTAATGAAGGAAAGAGTAGGTTTATATGTACAAACATGTCTGTGATATGAGTATAAATACATAAAAAGTGCATAGGCCATATTTGCATTTGCTATTTGAATCACATAATTTTCTCCTTGAAACTTTCAAGTGGCATTATAAATGTCTATGTCACAATGTTGTTGGTTTCAAAGGCCTTCAGAAAAAAAATCAAGGGTTTAGTATATACCACAGAAGTCTATTTATAAGGCACCCTTTAGTTAGAATCACTATGAAAAGTTTTCAGGTTTATTAAGAAGTGATTCAAAATATGTTATTAAAGTGTTAATATGAATACTTCATCTTTATCTTTGTTTTTAGGAGTGGGGAAAACACAAGCAATGTTTCATTTCTAAAACCAAGTTCCTATGAAGCAGAGCAGAAGGACTACTTATTAAAGAATTTCCCAGCCAAATTCCCAAAGGGCCCCCAACAGGCTTTCTCAATTTATGGGCACTGTCTTCTAACAATCTATTTCTTTCCAGACTCTCCTTGGAAACCAAAGATTTATGTCATTCTCTTCATATTTGAAAAGGAAATTGGTAGTGGTTAAAGAAAAAATAAAAATTGAAAGCTTATTTTTATCAAGGAATCCATGCTGTCTGGACAAATAAGTCATTAATATGCCCTGGGCTGGAGGCTCCACCAGTGACTCTGTCTCTGTGGGACTGCTGTCACTGTTTGGACAGACAGAAATCCAGTTCACATAAGGTATTTGTGAAGAGGAGTTGTGCTTGGACATGCGCTTAAAAAAAAATACTGTCCTATAGTAATTGAGAAAATCAGACCCCCCTCTTTCCAAATAATTTATAAATCTCCAGCTCAAATCTAGAGTTAAGGAAGTCAAACAGACTGAAAACAGTTCCATAAAATGTGAATATTCACTTAGCAACCTGAAATGGTTTCTGTTCTGTGAATTCATTCAAACAAGCAGGTATTGCAACATTTCATCGATAGCTTATCAAACAGAACAAGACTGAATAAAAAGGCTTTCCTAGGGGAACTCTCTGGTCATTGTTCTATAAAAACATGGGAGTATATTGCTATATGCTCATCTTCACAGGAAGTTACCCGGCTTAATAAGCACAGACCAGCAAGTTAATTTTAAAATTCACTTTGATTCCAGTGGCAACCAAGCTGATCCAACTAGGAGCTATTCCATAAAACCCTTATTGTCACATTCGTCATCAGCACTCTCAACAGAGACCACTGCCAGCACTAAGAAGCCAGCCCTCACTTCACCTCAGGAAATATGCTGCACAGATGGCCAGCCCAATTACAATACAGTAGTGAGGTGGCCCTATCTATCTTATCAGAATGACACTCTGCTAATTTTTCAATTCTCCTTATTGATGCCCTCTTTCATGTGTAGGTCTATTAGATTCTACTTCCTCTACTGTCCTCTCAGGACTTGGTGCTTGCCAACTACAGTAAGTTGTTTTGACAACTTGTCTAGCTATACAATACTCTGTTTCTTTCCCTCTGTAGCCTTTCTGGCTTCAAATGAGTACCTTCAAATATATCAGACTATCCAATCAAACTATACAACAGGGAGAAAAGCATTCTAAACACTGTCCTGCGTAAACCATAATCTTGCATGTGCCCACAGTTCTCTCTTTTCCTCTTTACCTTCATAGATAAATCCCATTTGCTATCTTGTCTTTTCCTATTTTAATACAGAATGACTGCCGTGACCACCCCCATCCAGCTATGCCATTCACCGCCAGCACCTCTGCTCTCCTCGTGTGCTTCAAGAAGAACTGATTAGCACTTTGCATAATTAACCTGATTAGCACTGTGCATAATCAAACTGATTAGCACTTTGCATAATTAAAAAGAAATAATAATAATAACAATAATAAGCACTAAGTAATATCAAAAGCTGTTAGTCCCTCATCCCTTTGGTTAACTCCAAGATGAGTTCAATGCAGCACATCTTGCACCCACATTGAAATCTTCTCTGTAACTCAAAAGTCAAGAAAGCAAATTCAAATTCTTTCAGTCCACAGGCCCATTACAGTTTTTATATACACTCTCAGATACCAAAATGTTCAAGTTTTTCATATATATGTCTCCCTCTATTCAATCTTTGATATGTCATGCACACTACAGTGGAAAAATGAGAATATATCACCAAATCAATGGAAAACACTTAGAATAAAATTAGAAACCAAGATGTATGTTGCTTCTGTTCCAATGAAAAGGAACTAGACAGATTCTCAGGGAAGCACGGTATGGCCATTTACTTTGTGTGATCCCAGCAAAGCGACTCAATGTTTATGACCTCACACCCTTCCTACTGATAATGGAAATGGTAACACTAGTTATGATATCTCAAGGGTTGCCATAAAAACAAAGTAAGAGCTTAACAAAAATGTTGTAAAATATGTCTATATACTAGCAGACACAAATGAAGCATCCTATGGGAGGAACCTAAGCCTCTCACCCCCAAACATGACTTCACAACACAGACAGAATCACAGATTGAGTAATAATACAATTTTATATTTATAATGTCTTCAAACCAAAAAGTTATAAAGTCTTTTTGCTTAATTTTTTTATTTCTCAGTCAATGACTGAATATGATTATAAATATGACTTACTTCAGTAATTATTGTATCCATCACGGTTCTCATTTGTGTTTCCACAGAGGTTAAAGTCAAGCTGTTCCTAGAAATTCACAAGAGAATAAAAGAAAATCTAGTAACTTTCTACTAATTTGGGAATTTGAGGTGAAGAACTTTGAGAGCCTGTTTTTCTATACCCCATCATAGCCAACCATCTGTTCCTTGCCAGCTCTTACTTCAACTTCCCTTCCCTCTAAGGAATCATCTCTGAGACCTCCATAGGCGGTCAGAATTTCTGCCTCATTTTCCCATATTGTGTTTGTAACTTTTCAAACCTCTGTGTACTAAATGGTTGTATATACAGCTCCTTTTGTGGACTCTGAACTCCCAGAGCCGCTGGTAAACCTGTTCTTGTCCCACAAATATCGCATAAGAGACACATGTGATGGGCACTTCACATTTTTGTCATGGCTGACTTGAGGAAGCTGAATAGCATTACACTGTTTTAAATAAGCTTTTACTACATAAGTGCTACAAACAAACATGGGAACTGGTTCACTACCTTAATCCCAGGTATTACAAAGGTATTTGACATACCCATAACCATATATGTGATCAAAAAAGGAATTAGTCACATGTAGTCACTCAAAGCAAGATGAAAGTGACTAGAAGAAGCTAGGGATTGCATTACAAACTGAACAAGGCACTGACCATAACAAACTGCAAGGTTCTCTCAAGAAACTTACAGTTTATATATCTTTTAAGGATTTTTCTTTAAGAGTCTGGAATGGAGTCAGAACTCTTCCTCCTTAAAGGTAAACTAAAAGTAACCAGAATGACCTGGTGCAAGGAATCTGTCAAGAGACCATGGGTATTTACCAACCTAAAAATCAGCTTCTTCTTGGGATAATCATTCATTTTACATTTCATTTAATTCAAAAAATGCTGCTGTGGAGATTATTCAAGTCCAAATGTTCCTGGTGAAGGTGCTTCGAGTAATTCTGGGAAAGAAGCCAATCCTCTAGTTTTATATGTAAATATTTTAAAAACAAGCACATATATATAAGCACAAAGGAAAGGTCAAGAAGACGTAAGTCCTTAAAAATCTATTTTAATAATTTTTTCTATAACTGTCCACAGAAGTTTGGGCTTTTTTGTAGTGTTACATTTTCTCTTACACAATACACCTGCTTTTTTTCCCTAAACTAAATATTTCTTCCATCTAATGACTCTCTTTATTAGACAGCATCTAATTTGCATACATTTACATACAATTTAACTGCTAGCTTGTGAGAACAAAGAAATGGCTCTGTATTGTACTGAAGGACAATACTCAGTAAAGGAAGGTATAAAACCCAACCAGTTCTATAACTGTGTAAGCTCTTTGTCTCAGTCACACCAACCTCTCTTTCTCTTTTAACATGCTACTTAAAAGGGGTAAAAATTATTTCATCAAACAATGAAAGAAACTACTCTGTTTAAGTGTCTGCACCCACCCACAGCATGGTTACCACAATTCAGGCCCAAATTCACTGATTCTCCCATAACTTCCTTTACTACATTTGATAACTCAGCCCCTTTATTTTGCTTGGTATCCCATCTCTAAAACAACCTCGGATCCTTTGATAAATTTTTCATTCCAATACTAATCTGGGCTGCCATTCTCCTCACTGCTGAACAGACCAGGTCTTCAAATGCTGGCTGCTGTTCTTTAGTGAACAAAGCATACTCTCACCCGCACTAGGTTCATAGATTTTCCTTGAGACTTCAGGACTTTTTGTAATAAACCACTCTTCAAAATAAAAGCTTTTCCAGGTCCACTGGGAGTTGATGGGATGAAGACTTGAACATAAAGAGGACGGACACGCAAGACAAGTTACAAGTAAAGAGCACTTGAGCCAACTGTTCCCCACTCAGCTCAGGTGTCCCTTTGTGAGTCTCCAAGCCTGCAGGGCTCTTGGGTAATGAAAAAGAGAAATAAACCTGAAAACCAGGATCCTTGACTGTCCTAGGAAGTAAACTCCCCATACACACACACTGTGACATGGTGACTCACTGTGCCTCTTCCCTTAGTAACTCTCATCCTTGATGCACAGAGAGAGAGATTATAAAAAGCAATCTCAGAGAGTTTGTTCAGTGTTTTGTAAATATTAACTACTGAAAACACACAAAATAAGTAATAAAGCTGCGGTCACAACCAAGTGAAAATAAACATGAGGGGAATTCAAGTTTCTTAAATGCCATTGAAAAATAAGAAATAAAACTGCTTCAAAATTACAATAAGTAATATAAATGTTAGGGAGGACATGCGGACAACTGAAAGCTATAAAACTACATATGAACCCACAACATAGGAACAATGGAAACAACAGCACGGATGACTGAGGGCTGAAACAGCCTGAGACTTATTTCCTTAGAAGTAGATTTAAGATCATTGGCCTGTGTTTTTGCATCTGATAATGCACATTTACAATTTTAATGACCAAAAGAGGTGTGAACTTGTCAGTGATAAGTGAGGAAATTCTACCACTCTGTAGGGCTGCAGAATGCCCACATGATTTGGAGCCTTCGACAGCCAAACAGATTGCACAGGCGCTACACGCGATCTTGAGGCATGTCTGATTTTCCACCTGGTGGGAAGCCTGAGTTAGAGACAGTATCAGTGCTGGAGTGCTGGCAGAAACTAACTCTGCCAACGCTTTACCCCATGAGCAACTATGAATATTGATTAAAATAGAGCACACAAAAGAAAGTATTAGGCACAGTCTTTACAAATGAAAACCAAAATAACACCTCTAAGTATTGACTAGATTCCAGACACTCTAGTAAATAATCAGAATGTTACAGGCCTTCTGAAAATCACGACTTATTTCTAAAAACAGTTTTAAGTTCTAGAGAACTGATCTCCGACCCCCAAATCCCTTGTTCTATGAGAAATGAGCCCATCACTTCATGATGCTGCAGCGTCTGTCCTTTCAGACACTTTCAGTACGTTTTACATGACATTTCTGATTCTCTGGCTCATTAAACCTTCTCGTTAATGGAGATTTCAGGCAGTACTTGCTTTGTGTCATAGAGAACTATCTGCCGATACCCAGCATCAGATTGTTTTTTTTTTTACACTGTAACATATTAAATTCACCGTGTTTGTTTTAAAAGCACCTCTTATTACTAACTCAGCCAACATCACCTGTGCTAGAGGTGGTTAAGATCCACCTTCCCAATGCGTGTTACCACGGTGACAAAGTAGTGACCTAATTTACACACACCTGCTGGGTTAATTGGTCCAAAATGAAAGATGATATATATGCTCAAAATCCAAAACTGATTTTTCCCTCAAAATTAAATATTTGATTTTTTTAAATTAGCAGTTTCTAAAGCTAAGAACATACTCCAGGTGTGCATTTGCCAGTTAATATACCCTGAATGTTTCATGACACTTGAGCAGCAAAACATATTGAGTGATGAATACAAATCTTTTATGTATTTTCTGCATGCAATGATTAGTATGAGTAAGTGGTCTCAATCACTGAATGTGTGGATATGCTTGAAGGGTCAGGTTACTGACTCCAAGCAAAAAGGGACATTCAATCTTGCCAAGTTAGCACTCAGTCAGGAGTGACTGCCTGTAAAACACAAGCTCACTTTGAGGAAAGCTGTACTTTATGGCCTTTACCAGTATGTATCAAGTTTTGAACCAAAAATGTCCACTTTGCTTGACCTCTTCCTGTCACTCTCTTCTCTACTTTCTTAAACCACTGAGAGCTTTCTTTGGGTCACAGAGTTTTCTGCTCCCAACCAACAGTGATATGAGCAAACAGCTTCTTTACAGAATGCTGGTACAGATCAGCCATAGATGTGTGCATGCACACAAATGGCCTTGCTAAACACATCAAAAGGCTAAAAAGATCACAGCCTTCTATTCATTTATCAGGCATGTCCATTAAAGTATCTTCACAAAGATATTCCTCTACTTTCAATATAGAAAAATTGGAAGCAACTTGCACGTGCACAAGTAAGAGACTATTGAGATGGCATAGCATACATTTATGGACTGCATAAGTATTTCAAGGAAAATTATTTATTAACAAAAAGATATTTTCATATCACATGGCTAGCTAACAAAAAATTCAAACTATAACTATACATTGTGAGCATAGCCCATGGTTTTAAAAATAAACACCAATATATTAATAACTTTCTTCTGATTGTAAATATATCAAACATGACTTTATTATCTTTATTCTTACATTTTGAATTTCTCAAATAGTTTTATATTTAGGTGTGTTTTTAGAAGAGAAAAAGTCTATATGATTATATATGATTTAAAGATATTAAAAAGAGAGCTGGACAGGTGGCTTAGCAGTTAAGAGTACCTGCTTCTCCTAGAACCCCCAGGATTGATTCCCAGTACCACATAGCAGCTCACAGCTGTCTATAATTCTAACTGCAAGTCTTGAGGGATCCAATATTCTCTTCTGGTCTTTGAAGGCAATGGGGAATGTGTGTGGCACAAAACACTCATATGCACAAAATAATAATGAAAAATTTTAAGTTGAAAGTAGAAGAAAAATTAGTGACATTCTTGATTGCCCCAGTCATATTTACCCTTCTCTAAACACCAAATACATGTTGAACACGATAAGGTTCTTTGGTTTCGAAATATTTAACATCTGTAACTGCTTTTTAAAAATAAAACATTATAAAGATGCAAGCTATCAGAATCCTTAGCCTAAACTCTTTTGTAAACTAAATAAAATTACATGAAAAAAATTGCCTTTTAATAATGAAGACTACATGGAGCCAACTTTTCAAGACACAAATAAGGTTATCACGGGGTTATTGCATCTTGCTCAAATTACAACATTCACGTTTTTATTCACTTGTTCAGTTACAGGGTCTTACTGATAAGTGCTTTTCTTAAGTAAGTAAAATTAACATTACCATATGAACTGTATTTGCTGTTGAAAGTATCTCACTAGGGGTTTGATTTACTCTATGATGCTTTTGCTGATTTAATCATTGCTTAGACAATCAAAATATAATAATTTATTCTTATAAATGAAAAAATTTCTTGGGACTTCCTATGTCACAAACAGTAGA